CAGCCTCTGCAGTACGAGTTCGATCCCCGGCCAGCCAGAGAGAAACCCACATGGCGAAGCAGACCTCTCCTGTTTTCGTTCCCTCAGCAGTGTATTTCAGTCACTCTGTGGATCCTCTCACCCCCCGCATCTCTGGCCTGTACCCCAGCTCTTGTAGGCATAAATAAATCTTAAAAATTTATTTAAAAAAAAGTAGGTTACAGACAAAATGCAGAATATGATAAATACTTTATATATCTACCATATATTTCCAGATAGAGTAACAGATAAATCTGTAGCTATATATGGAGATAAAATACATTCAGTTTCAGACATAGATTATCTGAGTAGAGAGATACAGATGTGTAGCTAATGAAAACAGAATTTTAACAATAAAACTGCTTGAGGGCTGTAAGTGTATGGCTTAGGAACTCCATTTCAAGTTTAATATTTTTTTCATAATTTCAAATGTTTTCTACAAGGAACATAGAATTTTGATTAATAAGTATTTTTAAAAATGTGGACAACATGCTATTTTCCTCAGAGAGGAAGAATCAACTAAATAATACAATGGGGAGGAGTTATGGTTAGAGAAGTGTCACAGGGGAGGGGAGATGAAAACTGGGTTAAGAAAAGAGGATAACAGTTTTCTAGCAAGTCAAGAGATTATTCCAAGACAAAGCAGAGAGACACATGAAGAGCATGGCACGACCTGGAGAGTTAATGGCTTGATGTTTCTGAAATTTGGGTTACTTTGAAAGTGATAATGGAAAGTGTTCCTGTAAAGGACAAGCAAAGTCATTACAAACTGTGACTGCCCAGCTGAGATTAAAGAACATGGTCTGACATTGAGATTGGAGGAGTTCCTATCTCAGCATTTCCCCCACATACCAGCCCTTCAGAAACCACATCAGTAGTTTCTACCACAAGAATGATCAGTCCAGTGATCTCACTCTCAATGGTTGTTCTACATAATACAAAACACACATTTACATTCCCTTATTACAAATACGCGTGTTGGTAGGATATCAATTAAAATAGGAATAACTGCAAAACCTAGAATCATTGCTTCTAAGACTGTTTTAGCTAAAACGATGGCTATTAAGGAGTAGAGGTTTGCATGTGATTATTCCTCAGAGGTTGAGGAAAAGCCAAACCAATTCCCAATCGAGCACTATTCTTACATGTTTCCAAATATCATGCTCATGATTGAGGACATATGACTTCTGAAAGTTAACTCATTCTGTCCCAGGTTCTTTTCAGGAGATCACTTGTTCAGTCAAACATGTTATGCTCTCTTAGATTGTTTTAACAATGGAAGAGTAAGTCCTACAACTGCCCTGGCAAATTTTCTCTACCAACAGAACCCTGAGCCATCTCTATTTCAGCAGATCCCTTCTGCTCTTAGACCCTTCACAAACAGCCAGATAGTCCCAAAACTCAGTTCTTGAACTAAAAGATTTCTATTTTGTTAGCAACACCTGAACCACTTGCTCTTGGATTTGCTTAGTCTTGATCCCATAAATGATGGGGTTCATCACAGGTGGAGCCAGAATGCAGACAATAGCCAACAAGATGTGACATGAGGGGGAATGTGGCATCCAAACATCTGAGTAAGGTTTGTGAAGATCCATGGGCCATAAAAGAGGATGATGATGCAGACATATGTTGAGAGCTTCGTGGAGAGCATCCTGGGATGGGATGCGAACACAGCACGGAGAATCAGCACATAAGAAACAAAAATTAGCAGAAGATCTAGAACCACTGTTAATATGAGGTTGGTAAACTCATACCAGATGTTCACTCGAATGTCATTACAAGCATATTTGGCCAAGCCAAGGTGTTCACAAAAGGTGTGTGGGATAATATTATTTTGGCAGAAAGTCAATCTTTTCAGAAGAAATATTATGGGAAAAATTGTACCGTAACTTCTCAGAAAGATGAAGACACCATTTTCCCAGTGAGTGAGTGTGTGAGAACAGTGGTGTATCTCAGGGGGTAGCAGATGGCAATGTAGTGGTCAAATGCCATCACCAGCAAGATCCCCGACTCTGAGGTGAAGGTGGAGTGGATGAAGAACTGAGTGATGCAGCGATCCAGGGAGATCGCCCCAGCCTGGAACCAGAAGATGGCCAAGGCCTGAGGCACCATGCACGTGGAGATGACGACGTCTGCTCCAGCCAGCATGCAGAGGAAGAGGTACATGGGCTCATGGAGGCTGCGCTTCATGAGGATGATGCAGATGAGCAGGCTGTTTCTGAGCAGAGCAGTGACGTAGTACATGAAGAAGGGGAAGGAAATCCACCATACATACATTCTTGAGATTGACTAATAAGTCATAAAAGGAGGGATGGAAAGAGAAAGGAACCACCACATGAAGAGGCGAATATACAGTACGAAGAATTTCCAGCTCAGGGTGACAGTTATATAAGGAGTGATTAGGGAGCAATGCAGCAGGTTTTCCTGATATTAAAGGACCTTGATCAAAGCTTTACCCTTTTACTCCATCCTTTACACAGATGTCTTGAATAAGATGTCTTGAATCCAGTAGGTTAGAATGAACACTAGTATAGAATGGTTATCTGTGGAGGTTTCTTAGAACAGTAATTTCCTAAGGAGACTATGTTAAAAGGATAGTCGTGCACCAGGAATAGAATGGATCTGAACACAACACAGTCACAAATGCATTAAAATAACTCATTATTTTTTGCCCAGTGATTGCAGTATGCACATTATATGCGGTATGTGAATATCTTCTCCATGCAAGTTCACAGGAATGTCCACTCTAGGAAGTAGCTTTTATCTCCATTTCACCATGGAAAGTGATTCAGAGAAAATGAATCACTTGCCAAAATTCACAACCTACAGTTGATTGAGATCTTTGTCATATACATTTTGCTTACTTGTGAAGTGCATCCAGAGATCTTTAAGAGGGTACAGAGGGGCTTACATGACTGAGTTGAAGCACTCCTTAGCCTCACACCTCAGGGTGCTCAGCTTAGAAATGACTGAAATTGGAAAAAGGAAGTCATTACTGGAGTGGGGATAGTATTGCAGTACTTGATACTGGAGTTTCTTCTGCTAGAATAAGTAGAATAAGAAATATTTTTATTATTTATTTCCTACTGTCCAATTCTTCATTCATTAGCTTCATCTTTTCGGAAAGTATATATTGATGGTGGCTACTTTTCAGGCACCATGCCATCTGCTTCAATCATCACTGTGCTGAAGATTTGAGAGAATGGTGGAAGATAAGCAAACAGATCTAATAACCTGTTCCAGGGTGATATGCTTACCACCTAAGTCAAGTCCTATTCCATCTTCATTGTAAGTTAAATAATAAATGGAGCCAAGAAATAAAATATTCTCTTTGGGGCCTTGAGCACATTAAATGTAGCAGTATCTTATATATAGCTCAGTAGCTGAGTTATAGCTTATTCTGATTATTTCTTTTACTCCAGCTCCCCCTGTTGGTGTCCCTGATATTTCTTTCTGGGGAGAAAATAGACTCCTTGCTCTCACATCAGCCTAGATGCTCTGGCTGCTTTCTGAAACCCCCTCCTCTGATTCTAGCTTGGAATCGGTGACAACAGTTGATAGACATTCTCGGAGCACCTTTCATATTTTGCCAAGAGGGGTCTTCTACAGACTAAGTAAGTTTTGTTTTCTCATCTCTGGCTTCATTATTAGGAGACTTGCACTTAATGGCAGGCTTCTCTTTATTTATCACCTGCAGTAATTTCCATCTAGCCTGTACACTGTTAGCTTCCTTTCCACACCTAACCCCTACATCTGTTATAATCAGTGTACCTCTGGTCTTAGATGTGTACCTCTGGTCTTCATCAAGCTTTATCTATAAATAGGAATAATCTCCGAGTCCTGTCCCCTCAGCCCAGTCCTTACCTTGCCCCTGGAATCAGCCCACCCACAAATGTCCACCAGCCTCTACTGAATCCCAGGAACAGGTATGAGGTCAGTAATAAAATTCAGCTGTTGCAGGTCAGGACAATGGGTATACAACCTTTTTCTGTGAGAAATGGGGGGAGTACAGTAGGGCACCAGGGGCAGAGCTCTCTCCACCAGCTAGTTCTCTTCTCAAATGGGCTGAATCTCTAAATCATTTTCCATCTCCCTCCCTTGCTCTTGATCCTTGTCTCTCTTGCTTCTCTCAAGATACTATGATACAAAAGCCTTTTCCACCTATCTACTCTTGCAACAGGCCCTTTAATGAAGGTAAACACATTTTCAACAGAAACATTAACTTATAATTAATATGCAACAACAATGTATAAAGCTTTGTTCTTCATGAAGAGGACTACATTGAAATTATATTTATGTCCTGGTTTTCCTAAGTTTCTAATTTCAGAATCAATAATGGTGGTAAATGTAGGGTTCCCTGAGGGACAGAAGCTGCATTACGGGAAGAGCTGGCCAATAGAAACGGAATGTAAGCCACATACCTAATTTAAAATTTTCTAGAATCTATATCAAAGAAGTAAAATGAAACAGGTGAAATAACATTTATTTTATCAAATATATCCAAAATATTATCACTGCAATACACAGTATAAAAGTTATTAATAATATATTTCACATTTTACCTTGGAACTGAGACTTCGAAATCTGGTATTTTACACGTAATCACATTTCAGTTCAGGCGAGTCACACGTGAAGTGCTCAGCAGGCACTAGTGGGCCTGGGCTCTATGCTGGACAGCCAGCTCGAACCAACTCCTTGCCATTGGTTTCCACTTTCACATCTACTGCATAATCTCTTTCAGAGTTGGTTTATAATACCTCTCTTCCAAAGCCATAACAGCTAATTCACCAGCTGTTTGAACATAAAGAGAAGGGGTGTGGAAAAGTTGGAAGAAATCGTTCTTTTCCTGAAAGTGCTTTAAATTAATCTTATTTTCTCTTTACATTATATTTTCCTCCTATACTGGGAAAAAACTTTGCCTTAGGTTGATCATCAGTTTCTAGTTTCCTCTCTCCCCATTTTGTTCTGATTTGGAATTTGTTTGTTTTTTTCAATTACTTCCCTTAGATTTTTAGATCTACAAAGGTTGTATTCAGGACTAATATTAGACTCTTTTCCTTTAATTTGAATTTTAAGCCACCTTATAATGGTTTTTAGCATTCAATCCTATATATACTTACAAAAATACAGCAATTTCTTTACTCATTGCATTTTATAAAACCTGACAAAGATATTACAATAATATCAAGTTACAGGTCTATTTCTTGCATAGAGAGGAAAATAAAACATAAACAACTTATTTGCAAATACATATCCAGTATTACACATGTAAAATAACAGTGGTTTACTTCAGAAAATTGTGTTAGATTTAACAACTGAAACAAATTGATGTATTCCAATAATAGAAAAAAAAATGACTTAGATTATTTATCTCAATAGATACAGGGACAATCTGTTGAAATTCAATTTTCCATTTGGTACCGAAACTTACAACAAATGAACATAAGAACACATCCTAAATTTGAACTCACATATTAATAACAACAAAAATCCTCCATCAAATACCAAACTTAATGGTAAAATGTCCAAAGGCACCTCTCACTCACCTCTGGATGTATAGTTTAGTCAAGGACGTTTACTATCATCGCTGCATATACATCCCAGCACTGAGTAAGTGTTCAAAGGGAAAGGAGTGAGGATGCAGAAAAGCAGATCAGGAAGGAGAGTCTGAGGTTCAGATGAGCTTTGGGGTCAAAGGCGCCGCTCAGACGTGAGTGGAGACAGCAGAATATTCAAGAGCTTGGGCGACGCAAGGTGATGGGGACTACACAGTTGCAAGGATTAAAATATGGACAAAGGGAGGTAGGAAAGTAATATTTAGAGAAGGTGTAGATGGGGAATCCATTGTTAGTGACATTATAAAAGGAGACAGTGCCGGCCTCATAGTCTAAGAACACGCCCACACGGCGAGGGGGCACAGTCATGGAGAGGAGCAGGGAGGTGGAAGAGTCCTCATAGGCGCGGTATTCATGTCTATGATGTAGACCGATCACCCAGAAGCCACTCTGAGGTTGGTATCTGGAGTAAACGTTCCGATTGTGCGCAAACTGATTGAAAGAGAATGGTCCCACCGAGTAGCTGCACACCCCAGGATCCAGTCCGTCTTCTTGGCCACGTCTACCTCCCAGTAATGCTTTCCCGAGGAGAAGTGCTGAGAGCCGAGGACACTGCATTCATAATGTTCTTCCAGAGGAGACCCCGACAGCTCACCACCCACATACCTCACCTGCCTCCGGTTTTTAGACAGCACGAGATTTAAAGTAGCTGTGTGTGGATTCAGAGTTACGTCCACTGTGGCAAAAGAACAACAGCAGCAGGTGAGGATGGGTACGTGGAAACACAAGAAGTGGATGGAAGCAACTGGAACTATGTGGTGGGGGGGCTCAGGGAGGTATAAATACCTCACAGCTAACAGTATGTGCGGCAACGTTTAGGGTAGAGCATGTGAAAGGAGATCAGAACACATCAGCTCAAAGAGGGCATGGTTTCTACTTACCCCAGTAGCTCTGAACATCTGTCAACTCTATAAAAAGAAACAATACTGTTGTGTTGCACCCACCATCTCAGGTCTGCTATCTCTCCCTGTACCTGACTGAGGGGTGAGGCAGGGGATTCTGTGAGGAATGAGCTGGTGATTCCCCCTTAAATATGAACTGCATTTCCTCAGCACATTACTTTTCTGTCCCTGAACATCAAATGCCAACTGTATGTGCTATTTTATTTATTCTTAATAGGACAATAATCCCACATCTAAACTCTGTCCCCTGAATCTTCTCACCTTTAAAAACTCGCAGCATCTTTTTCAGATTTGGGGCTCGAAATCCAGTCTTTAGCTTGGTGGGGAGAGCTTCTGGCTTCTTCAGGGTCCAGTCCTCACTCCTAGAGAGAACAGATATTATTACTCTCCCACACTGCTGACCTTGGGTTCCTCCAACACCTTTGCCTTGCTCATCTCCCAGGCCCTCTGGTGAACTTCAATACTTCTCAAATTAGCATAATTCTGCAAGAGCCTTGGTCTTGGAACTAGAAGACTTGGACTTGAAATTACCTTCTCATCATCTCTATAAACTTTAATAAGATTTTACTGCTCACAACCTCATTTTTTGTTATTGTTATAAAACAGAATGATTTCCCTTACATCCTAAAGAGTATGTAAAATTAAATAATGACTGGAAATCCTTGGCTACATCTACAAAAGATACAAAACACTTAAAAGTGTCCGTGCCACCTTAGAGGGTCTACAAAGAGGAGCTACTGAGGCCTGCTGACAGGCAGGACATCAGGAACCTGCTGCTGGGGCTTTGAGACTATCAGGTGAAGAGTTCTCTTCTAAAGAGTCTATGAATTTAGATGTCAGATTTCCCCACAGTCCCAGGGAGAAAGGCCTTCAGAACAGCAGCTGAGGATTCACTCTCTGGGAATATTATACAAGGAGAAAGGCAATGTCTCACCTCCAAAGTGAGTGGAAAATTTCAGAACAAACAATAGGCTCCATATTCACATGGCTGTGAAGACCTGGAGAGCACCAAGTTTGTGGGCAACTCTATTGTTACCTTGATGGTTGAGACTTCAGAGTATGTGACAGAGAACATGTTTTGTCCTGGGGCACAAGCAACTCTTTACAAGACCAAAGGTCTGTGTTTTTATTGGAACTAAGAAAAATGGAAGCCTGGAGAGAACTAGGAGCAAAACACGGACTGTGCTAAAGTCAAGAAAGAAAGGGAAGCCAAAGGCAGATGTTGCAAGCCTGATTCTTGGGCCTGGAGAGACAACGCAGATGAGAAATTTTCCTCTGATAAAATGTATAAGCAAAGAGAATTCCTTTAACAAAAACATGTGTGTCAATAAAATGTTCTCAGGACATTTATCAACTACAGGAGCCAGGGCTAGAAGCAGATACTGAGATGTTTATGGGAAAGGAATTCCATCACAGGGTACTAGGGCACCTCATGTTCTCCTACACATACCTTTTCGTGACATCACTCACATCCTAGGGAAGAAAAAGACAGATTAAGTCAAAGAGTAGCAGGTCTTGTCCTCTAAGAGAGCTTCATCCATGTTTCTCATTCCATCCATTGCCCCTTGATATGATGGAAAAAAGGATGGTCCCAATATGAAGGCCACAAAATAGAGCCAAGAACCCAGGGCAAACTGTTCTTCAGATGCCCCACAGAGGGATGTGGGGAAATAATTCAACTCATTTACTAGTACCTTTATTTTGACTATTTGACACTGGGTGTGTATGTCTGGGCAATGTTATGTATGTGCTTCACCTATGAATCACACATGATTAAGCCATAATTTTGGTTCTTGAAATATGTACATTCCGGGGGCAAACACAAAGGGCCTTATGTTATCACTGTGCACAAATATCACTCTCTAACCCTCCGACCTAGCTTTACTGACTTCACCTGTTTTGCTTGACCTCAAAGCATACATGGATTAATGATCCCCAAAGCTGTACTTCTACAAGGCTCTCTCATCTATCCCAGCAAATGAGCCGCAGGAATGATAAACTCAAGATGTTTAAAAAGACTTACTTTTCCTTTGCAACCATGAAGGCTCTTCTGTTATCTTCCATCCTCAATGATAGGAGCATCCAGTCAGTCACCAAATTGAGACAAAGTCCCACCCTATAAATTACCTTATATTCACCCTGATGAGCCGCTTTAAACTAAGCCAGTTCATTTCACTTATTTTAGCCACCCACTGTACACAGTCATCATTGCCACTGCTTGCCTCCCATGAGTAAAACTACCTCCTGGTCTCCTATTTGGTCTCCCTAACCTTTACTCTATATATCTCAACCCTAGAGAAAAAGCTGACAGTTTGATTTATGTAACACAGGAATAACTCTTATCTATATTGGGGCTATTTTTCATTCCTTTGACAGAAATGCAACTCACAATGGTTTGGATATGAAAAGTGAAGAGGTACCAACTTACAGGAACTATCTAGGATCACAGCAATCTTAGCTGGGCTGAGGGACCCTAATGACCAATTGAGGGTGCCTCCCCTTACACCCTCATACTCTCACATTAGCCTGATTCTGAGGGCTTACATTCTGGAACTTGAGAGCTGCAGGCTTGCGTCCAACCATCAAATCTTTATGGGCAACAATGTCACACAGATATGGAGACGAGAAGGAAGAATGTGATCATGGTGGGCAAGGTCTAGAAAAACTGATGGTGAGAAAACACTCAAATTAAAAATGTCTACCAGATAGTCATACTAATGGGTGGAGAGTCTAGAAGGTGTCCAAACTAAGACTATAAATCGTGATCCCTTTGTCTTACAGAGCTACACTTACTGTCTGAGCAATCTCTGGAGAGGCCAGGACAAAGGCAGGAGGAAGAGGGCCTTAGGGTAGCCCACATCAAAGATGAAGACAAAGGGCAAGAAGATAAAAATGAAGATGTAAACTTAGAAGCAGACAATGGGGAAAGTAAATACTTAAGTAAGTGCCCCAGAATAAGTCAAGAAATGATTCAACCAGGAAAGGGAGAGTAAAAGGAGGCCCGAAAAAGGAGCAGACTGAGTATACAAGGTACACAGATGCTGAATTTCACGGTCATACCATTTACGAAGAAAATAACAATGCAAATTTCAACCTCACTTCAAGCTCCTCCATCAAATCTCTACACTTGACACTTTACACCCTCCCGACTTACACAGACCAGAGCCCAGACTTCTTGTTGCCTCAAAAGCCCTGTTCAAATTTCTGTTATAACATACGCAATGATTCTGCCCTAGGAAGAGAGGAAAAGCAAAGGGATAAAGAATTTCTAAGTACTTGAATTGGGCATGTAATTAATCTAGGTGGAAAGTAACCTTAAAAATTCTAACACATGGGCCTCCCTGGTGGCACAAGGGGTTAAGCACCACACTATGAAGCAATCCATGGCCTCTGCAGCACAAGTTTGATCCCCGGCCGGCCAGGGAGAAACCCACATGGTGAAGCAGACTTCTCCTGACTCACCCACTGCCCCCCTCAGCAGTGTATTTCAGTCAGTCTGCCTGTTCTGTTCCCTGCTCTGTCTCTGGTGGATCCTCTCACCCCCCTGCATCTCTGGCCTGTACCCCAGCTCTTGTATGCATAAATAAATAAATCTTTAAAAAAAATTCCAACACAGTATCATGTCAATAAACAGGTGCCTAATGACCAGTATTGGAGGGGGGGCATGCTGCAATATTCAGCAGGGTCTGGAGAGGCTTCTGGTTTTAGTTAGAGGGTGAGGTACTTAGAGGGTGAGGTAAAGGACTGTGCTACTGACACCTCATGGGTAGAGGCCAGGGATGCTGCCAAACATCCCAAAAGCACAGTACAGCCAGCCCCTCACAGCCCAGACTTATTCAGCCCCAAATACCAATTGTGCAAGATTGATAAATGCTGCTATAGAACATCGCTGGATACATAGTATCAAATAATCTTTTGAACCATCCTTTAGAAATAATAAAAATGAGACATTCCCTTAGCATTTGTACCTTTAATTATCCTATTCTTTACCTAAGACCTTTGCACAGTTTAATAAACGGTCTAAGGAGATAGGTAGGTAGGTAGATAGGCAGATAGAGAGAGAGACAGACAGATATAGAGAGAGATACAGATACATGCATTTTTGATAGATAGATAGATAGATAGACAGACAGACAGACATAGAGATATATGTATTTTCCTGCCCCCACCAGAATGCCAGTCCCTTGTCAGAAGGGCAGGAAAGTCAGTCTCTTCCACCTTAACTCTCAAATTAGAAGCACCTTTCTGAGTCCTACCTGCAGCAGATCCATTGTTGACCCCTGACACCGTCGCTCCAGATCTGAGACCAGTTCTCCAGTGACAGGCTCTGCCGGATCAGCTCGTCCTCGGCCTTTTCTATAATACTCAGCCCTTTCCTCTCTTCTTCCTCCAGTTTTCTCAGTTGCCGCTGTTCCTCCTTGTCCAGGATGCTTCTCAACTTACTAAACTCTTTCTGGATCCTGTGTCTCTCCGGCTCCACCTGGTTCTTCAGGAACATAGAAGAGAAAGAAGCTGCTAGTCTACTGTGCTGGGGTCCCCTGTATAAGGGGTGGGGGTTCCTGCTCAACACTGCGTTCCTGGCCCGGTCTTGCAGGAAGAGGAGGGGTCAGTGGGGAATAAGTCTGCAGAACCTGTTCTTTCCTTCTGTTCTCTAGCTCTTCCAGACCATGAGCCCCATGCGGCCTTATCTAGGTCTCCTAGGTAGAGACCGTGATTGCTGGGGGAGACTTAGCTTCCAGGCAGCCTCCCTCACCCCTCATGCCTTGCATCAGCCTCCCCTTCCAAGTTGGAGTTTCAGCTGGGAGTGACTGGCCTGTGCCTAACCTGTCTGTCATTCTAAGTTTCAGAACTTGAAATGACAGAACAAAGCCCAGAAGCAGGAATTTGGGCCCACCAATCGCCATGGGTTCTCTCCTATTTAACTGCCTTCAAAAACCTGGGTTTCCTTTGGATACATTTTTCTCATTCCCTTACAATTCCCTGCAATAAAAATATTCCTTTCAGTGGAAGGGCTGCAGAGATCCCAGCCAAGGGAAGCTCCTCCAGCCAGGTCAAGGAGCAGACAGACCGGTCTCCTTCACCCTGGGCTCCCATGCAGTGCCCTGGTTCCTATGCCTGGACATTCAGGAAGAATCTCTTACCTTCCAAGATATTCTCTTCTCTCTGATAACAGTGTTAAGTTTCTCTGCTTCCTGCTGCTCTTGCCTCAGCTTCCTCAAAGATTCCCGAAACTTCTCCTAGATGAAAGATATCAGGTCAAACAGGGTCAAGAATTAACTCATCTCAGTAAGTGGACATGGAATGAATGAGGTTGAGACTATGCTGACCTCATTGATGGAGCCGACTTGGCCTGATGCAAAACCAAAAAAGCCAAGTATATTTTATATAAAGGGGATGGAAACAGGTGGAGTCTCTCCCCTCCCTCCTCTCCCATGGATGGGAAAGACGCCATCCATGCAACACTGAGTCATTCATTCTCATTGCCAACCTATCTTCCAAACTCAAAACAGGAAGAAAGATAAAACTCTACTCTTGGCCAAGTAGGGGGTGGGGGAGAAGCATTTTCTTGGTTCATCCTCCAGCTGAATGGGAAGACTACAAAGAAATCAGATTAGAGCACGCAGTTAAAATCTCCTGCCGAGGACACTGGTTCCTCCTTCATCTTGCTCTCCCACCTGGTACTCCTGGGCAACCTCCTCCATGAGGAAGGTCTGGTGACCACGGTGCTCCTGAGACCGTTCGCATAGCCAGCAAATGACTTTCCCGTCCTCCTTACAGAATAGCTGGAGTTTCTCTCCGTGTTGCTCGCAGAGAATCGCCATCAGCTGCTTCCCGGAGCTCAGCACCACCTCTCTGAGTCTGTCCGCTATGTTGCCAGGTGCCGATTAGGGCGGAGGTTCCTGGGCTGGTAGGTGGTCTGGCACACCGGGCAGTTGCTCACCCCGTCTTGGTTGATTACTGATTCTTTATTGGCTGTGATGCAGGCTTGGCAGAAGCTGTGGCCACAGTCTATGCTTAGGGGTTCTGTCAGGAGCTCCAGGCAGATGGGGCAGGTCACCTCCTCCTGGATGTCCACCAGTACTGCCGATGTCATCATAGTCCCTCTCCTGACTCCTGCTTGCCCAGCCCTGAGTTTTAAGGTGTTTTCTGTTTACAAAACCTTGGGCAGATAGACAAACAGAAAAAAGTCAGGGTGAAAAACAGGGAGGGAAAGGAGAGGCTGACTGTACTGCATAAAGAGGACAGACACCTGGGGTAACAAAGCCTTATTTTTCTTTATAGTAGACATCGATTTAGCCTCATTTCCTTTTACTCCCATTGGACAGAAGGATAAACTGAGGCCTGGAAGTGGCCAGTGTGAGTGACCATCTGTCTACCTTCCCTGAGCCCACCAAACACAGCCCCAGTGTTAAAGGCACCAAAACACACTGCTGTCTCGGGAACAGCTGAATTAGGAACAGCTTCCCCGAGATCTCTGCACTCTCTCTGACTTCACGCAATTCTCCCCTTCCACATTCCCTGACCAGAAGGGTCTGCCCTGTCAAGCCAGACACAGAGGGTCACCTGTAGTCACTTACTTTCTTCTTAGCACCACATAAATACACCTGTAGTTATGTGACTCCTTCCACTGGGACATAAGCTCTCCAAAATCAGACTCTGTTGTTTGTTGCTGTTGTTTGTTGCCCTTCCACCCCGCAGAGTGCCTGACACAGGGGCCACTGACTTAATGAATGAAAGCCAGACCTCCTTATCCACCACAGAGGATTACACCTCTTCAAGAGCTTTCCACCTCTGACATTGCTCTCCAGTATCTAATCTCCAAAATCAAGCATAGCAATTATCATGAAGAAATTTTTACCCTCTAATAGCTGCCCCACACCTTCTCAGGGAACAAAAAAAAAAAAAAAAAAAAAAAAAGGCCTCCCAGTGGCGCAGCGGTTGAGCGCTGGTTTGCGAAGCTGCCCCGCGCCCTATTCGGCGCCCGGTTCCATCCCCGGCTTCTCCCCGACCACAGGGAGGAGGGTCCCACATGGCGCGCAGACCTCTCCAGCCGCCCCTGCTCCCCTCAGCAGTGTGCTTCGGTCCTTCTGCCTGTTCTGCTCCCCGCTCTGGCTCTGGTGAATTCTCTCACCCTCCCGTGCTTGACTGTACCCAGTGCATGTATAAACAAACAAATAAATAAATAAATACATGCCTCTTTTAAAAAAAAAAAGAAACAATACAATGAAAATGTGACAACAAAGACTTTTATAATGAGTTGTGGTATAGAAATCACATTTGCCTGTTTTCTTTATCCTTCATAGGAAAGCTGAATAAATAAGAGTATTTTTTTTTTTGGC